CATTCTTCAAACTGAATTGTAGTCTTCTGTCTCCCCACAGGAGCCTGTGCTCCTTAAGAACAGACTGCCCTTTCTCTGCCCCTAACAACTGGTGTCACGGTGTCTGTAATAGATGCTCATTGGATCTTTACTTAATTAACAGAATGGGATGAATGGCTCCTGAGAAAGGGACTGTCAGCCCCACAGGGTGACAGAGGTGGTGTGCCCAGTCACCCTGGCAGAAATGGCCACCAGAATAGCAGTCTGCAGTCCACAGCTCGCAGATCACATCCAGCCTGGTCCTGTCAGAATGGCTTTTACTTTTTTATGGATTGTAAAAAGAGAGGAATAAAGAATATGCAACAGAGGCTGTGTGTGACCCTTTGCAGGAAAGGTTTGCCAACCCTACACTAGAAGCAGCCCAGGCCCAATAGCCAATCCTTAGCCCACGCCTGTGCCGCTCCTCCTCGTAGAAGTTACACAACCTTTTCCTCCTTGCCAGTTCTCCGCTCCTTTTACCCCTTCACTTCCCAGTGAAAATTTTGGTATTGACCATTAGATATCAGTAATGTAGTGTGCTCGGGGTCCCAAACTATCAGTGCCTTCCAGGGTACATGGCACAGTTAGTTTTCTAGGGTTAAATCCTGGCCCTGGCTGAGACCGGTTTGGCTCAGTGGATAGAGCGTCGGCTTGGGGACTGAAAGGTCCCAGGTTCGATTCCGGTCAGGGGCATGTACCTGGGTTGCGGGCACATCCCCAGTGGGAGATGTGCAGGAGGCAGCTGATCGATGTTTCTCTCTCATCGATGTTTCTAACTCTCTATCCCTCTCCCTTCCTCTCTGTAAAAAATCAATAAAATATATTTAAAAAAAAAAAAAAATCCTGGCCCTGTCACTCACCCGGCCATGGGATCTTAAGTGCCATCATTTTTGAGTTCCAATTTCCATTTCAGTGATGAAAGTATTGAACAAAGTATAGTAATCCTCCCCTTATCTGTGGTTTTGTTGTCTGCTGTTTGTTACCCACAATCAGTCATAGTCTGAAAATATTAAATACACACAGAGCACTGGGAACAGTGCCTGATACAGTGAGCACTCTGTAGATGTTAGCTGGTGGTACTCGTGCTAATAGTACTAAAGGGGATAAAAAGCACACCCATCCCAGGTTTGCTTGTTGTTTGTTTTGTAACAGGTGCGAAGCACTGAACACAGGGCCTGCTATACAGTAAGCACTCAGGAAGTAGTAGCCTTTGTTGTAAACTGGCTGTTCCCTCTGGTGTAGATGGTGAAAGGCTATTCCAACCGGGCCCGGAGAGCCCGCCTTGCTGAGCCCCAGCTGCAGGACCAAAATGACCTGGGCCTGTTTGGCAAGTGGCAGACAGAGGAATACCAGCCACCCGTGGCTGTGGACGGCAAGGTGAGGGCAGCGTCAGTGGGTCAGGACTAGGCCGCTTCATTCTGCAGCTGGCCAGACCTGCATGCCAACCTCTGCAGGTCCCCCGGAATGAATTTGGAAACGTGTACCTCTTCCTGCCCAGCATGATGCCTGTTGGCTGTGTTCAACTGAATCTGCCCAACCTGAACCGCGTGGCTCGTAAGCTGGGCATCGACTGTGTCCCGGCCGTCACCGGCTTTGATTTCCATAAAGGATACTCCCATCCCATGTGCGTGAGGCGCCTTCCATAGAAACTGGAAGGAGGGGGGAGGTCACGGTGAAGTGGGTGGGAAATTGGTGTGGGATTGGGGGAGGGAGAGGCCCAGGGGCTCTGATTTTCCAGGGTTTACTCTGAATTTGCAAATTCAGCCTTAACACTTTACCTTTTACTTTTACACTTTGACTCCTACTCTGACTTCCATCCAGAGGCAGCAAAACCAGTGAAACCAGCCCCTAATAATGTTAGATTAAAACACTTTTTCTCGGGGTGATCACAGGTGACCTAATGGGGTCAGCGTCCTTCCTGGTTGGTGACCTCTGTCCTGCATGCAGTGGGGGTGGGCAGGGGCTCTCATCCCAGCTCTTAGGCAGGGCCCAGGAGAAGCAGTGCCAGGTCCACAGGCTTTCCTTCTGCATGAGTGGCATCTGTTAGCAGCTATGGCCAGGACTGTGGACCAGCTGACTCAGGAAACCCTTCAGAGCTAGGAGCGGCCTACTGTCCTCCACAACGGGAGGAGGAAAGGCGAGAGCAGGAATCAGGCTCGAGAAAGACCACCCCTGTTGCATCCCCACAGAACTGACGGGTACATAGTCTGCGAGGAATACAAAGACGTGCTCCTGGCCGCCTGGGAAAATGAGCAGGCGCTCATTGAAAAGAAGGAGAAGGAGGTGAGCGGTCTGGCAAGGGCTGGCCTGGGTGGGGCTTGGAGTGGAAAAGCAAGCACACTGGACGGGCAGTGCCTCACCTACAGCAACTATAAAGGAGAGTCTATGCACTCTGAAGCTCGCTCTGGCTCCAACTCCGTGAGGGCCCCCTAGGGAGCCAGCACTGGGAAAAAAACAATCCTTCCTACACCTCAAAATCCACTCTCTGCCCGGATCCCAGCTCCAGGGACAACTTCCCTGCTGCCGACACCTGCCTCTGTTGAAAGGAATTGTCTGTGGTCCAGGTGTGGAGAACCTCCTCCCCTAAACGTTTTGGAGTCGGAAATCATTTAAAAAAGGGCTTTTGTTTTTTATGCCTGTCATGCCTTTTATAAATCATTCCAATTTTAAAACTGATACTTGATATAAACTTTTTTTTAACCTAAAGAGAGAGAGAGAGTGTGTGTGTGTGTGTGTGTGTGTGTGTGTGTGTGTGTTTTCACAGGTTCGATCTTATTTTTCCTGAAAATAGCAGTACTCAACATTTTTTGCTTACCTGTGTCATTTTTTTCCTGCAGAAAAGGGAGAAGCGGGCGCTCGAGAACTGGAAGCTGCTGGCTAAGGGACTGCTCATTAGGGAGAGGTTGAAGCTTCGCTATGGGGCCAAGGTCAGTGTGGGGCCTTTGTAAAGAAGACAAGCCTGGGTGGGAAGAGGTTCTCAGAAATCACTGGCCCGCATTCTGCCTGGACGTCAAGTCATAGATCAGCTTTATGTTTTGATGCCACAGACCTGTCCCCTTACCTTGTTGGGGAAGGTGTCCTTGGAGTCAGCCTCAGCTGCCTCTTCTGGCCCCCAGCCCTGCCCCAACATGCCCTTTTCTGCTCTTCTCTGCACAAGTGAGGGGGGGCGTGCTCTGGTGCTAAGCCCATTCAAAAAGAGACGAGGTCTGTACTTCTGTGTGTGACCCACCATTCAGCCTGGTGGTGCTCTCAGTGCCTGCGATCATCCCTCGGGACAGGAATACTCTCACAGCACCTGCCATGTGGCAGGCCAGCCTGTGGACACAGGTGCGGACTTGACGTGCAGGCCCCAGACACAGTCACGTGGTGTGATCAGTACTGGGTCAGAGACAGCAGAAAAATGCTCTGGGAGCAGCTGTGACCACACATCTCCTACCCCACATGCTGCCTGTTTCCCTTTAAAAAATACTCTCGTCATGCTCCTCCCTCAAATCCCATCAGTGACCCCTTCACCAAGCTTCATGCCTAACTGGTTCCTTCCCAACACTGTGCTTTCACCCTCTGCATCCAGCTCCCCGCCCCAGCCGGCCCAGGCTCAAGGAGTACCTCCTCAGAGCACTGGGCACTTTTGTTCAGAAGTGAAGTAATACATGCAAAGCCCCAGTCAGTAGCGATCTCCTAGATTTGATTGTACACTCCCTGAGGGTAGTTTCCTGCCTAGACATCTTGGTGTTCCCTCAGCTTGTAAGTTACCAGTACCTGCTTGGATGAGTCCCCAGTCTGAGGAAGACACAGGAAGACAGGCCTTAGTTCTCCCCCAGCCCCATGCAGTACCCTTGTCCTCCCAGCCACACAGCTTCAGGCAGCCTGTTGCTAGGAGCTTTACTGCCTCCTGAGGGTGTTTCCTCCTATCTATCTGCTCACTGACCCGTGGCCTATGTTTCCCTGCACTACCCCCACCTCTCCAGAGTGGAGCAGAAACTCCCCACCCAGCAGGAGGTGGGCTCTCTTCTGATGAAGAGGAAGGAACCAGCTCGCAAGCAGAAGCGGCCAAGATCCTGGCTGCTTCCTGGCCCCAGAACCGAGAAGCTAAAGAAGAGCAGAAGCCAAGGTGCCCTAAGAAAACCAAAAGGGAAAAGGCGGAGGCTTCCCACCTGTTCCCATTTGAGAAGTTATGATGTGAGTGGCCATCTCATGATAGGATTGAGGCCATGGTGTCTCCACGGAGAAGGCAAACAAGCAGCGTGACAGCAGGGTCAAATTGAGGTGGTGCTGCAGGTCTAGTGTGGCCCCAGTCCTTGTCAGAGCCACTCAGCATAGGGCCTTCAAAGTCTCTTGCTCCCACACCCTGTCTTGAGCTATGGAACCCTTCCCTGGAGACCCTCCTGCACTTAGACCTGCTGCTTCCCCTTTTGAAACATGAGTCCATTTTTTATAGAAAACCCTGGGAAATTTTCGGATAATCGTACATTAGGAATGCACCAGTCCTTTCTTCCAGATTCTTCATCTGTAAGACACTGGTGCTCTCGCCTCTCTTGCAGACTTCAGACCCTCTCTCTGCAGGCCACTCATTTTCCCTCAATCAGGTTTACTAATACTGCCTAATGCTGCCTCTTTAGTATGGGGAGCACAGGTCAACTCGGATTCTGGTATTGTTGGGATCCACTTTTCAGAGTTACATTTCATGATGGCAGAAGACTAGAGTCATTACTGGATAAATTTTATAAAGCTCTATGGCACTGTAGGTCTTTAGAATAACATTTTGAGAAAAAAATAAAGCATTTATCTAAAAAGACTCAGCTCTACATTTTCTTTCAGATTTTGCTTCAGCTAAGAAAACATGCTGACCATGATTTGTACACATGTCGAGACTAAAATAAAGTTCTGTTTTCTTGTAGGCTGGGGGCTTACAAGCACACATGGATTTTTCTTTTCTATGTTTAAGCAAGGAGGTATTATTTAATCTTTGACAGGAGCCAATAAAAATTTGAATCAGTTTTATCCAAGGGAAACAAACAAAACACTTGAGGTATGACTCATATGCATAAAAGCCTGGCAGGAAGACTCTTGCTGAGAAACAAACAGGTTGCCATGGAAACTGCAGAGCCTCACTCTTCCTGCACCAGAGCCCTTCCTCTTCTAGAGGTAAGCGACTTGCTTTCTGGGAATTCAGTCGAGCATCATCCTGTCTCCCCACACCAACCTGTTTTTCAGGCAGAGGTCAGCTCCTAGAAGGCACTATGGAAATCAAAACTTTCAGTTTTTAAAAATACAAGAATAGGTTTTGGAAAGTTATCACTCACCTGCTTCAAATCTTGTAATACATAAAAAGAACTATTCAAATTGCTAACTTCAGAGTGGATAATTACAACAGTCCTTTGCTTCAGAACAGGAGGAAAAAGAATAAAAAGTTAATGTCATATGTGTTTGGCATTTCATGGGCTTTCTGCCAGTCCTCACAGCAAACTTGTGGGGGTACAATGGCATTGTTCTCATTTTACAGATGAGGGGACTGAGGCTCAAAGTATTGATTTTCCCAACATAACATAGCCAATCAGTGGCAGACTTGAGACTGGAATTCAGGTCTGTGCCAACCCAAAGCCAGTGATGCCTTTTGGACTGTGGCTCCATCCCGTCCTCCAGCACAATTCTGAAGATGGGTGAAGTGTGAATCCTTCACTTTAAATGCATCCAAAACAAAGTAGGCTTTGACATTTAAGACTTCTAAGTGCTAGAAATATTGAGTTGCCCTTTAAAAATACATATATTTTAACCACCAAAAACAACTTAGAACTGAGTCTAAAAATCATATGGTTTGTACTGAATTTTACAGCTGAATTCTTTAAGGTAGAAATTTCAGAAAGAATACAGAAACAACAAAAGGAATAATGGCAATGTCCTATAAAAGATACTTAGACATTTATTTTGATTTTTCTATCAAAAATACAAAGAATACAAATTTCATGATTTTTCCAAGGCATCAAATATTTCTTAACATTATTTTGCTCCTAAAGAACATTTGAAATTGGCAGTAATTTAAAATCTTATACTTGGAAAAATTACAGACCAATCCCAAAGATTTTGTATATACAGTAAAACCTCGATAAAAGGAACTAATATGGGCAAGGGTGTGTCCATTAAAGCTGAAAGCCCATTATATAATGAAACAGGTTTTCCGAATGCATATATTAAAATATTGACAAATTAGTTTACCTGTTTTCACTTATGTAGATGTTTAATTAAAATTAAGTATATATGAAAAGTTTAATTTCACAGAAAAGTTTTCTACATGTATTACTGTAATTTTAAATTTATACTGAATAGATCTAGTAAATGTGTACATTCACCAGTCTCCACGAGTAAACAGATGCACACAGAGGGGATGTGCCTTAGTGTATGTCAGAACTTCGGCGTTAAAACTGCTGCAGAAAGTGACACCATGCAACAACAACAACTAATTACTGCTCCATGCGGTGTGATCACGTGTTCATCATTCACCAGACATTGTTTACAAGCAGTGATTCTTGGATTTAAATATGTAGATTATAGTTGTAGATATGTAATATTTATGTCATCAAAATTACTTGTTTTTTCCAGCATATGGCCTATTCACTAAAATTTATTAAAAATACTAGTAACAGTGAATAACAAAAAATATAACCTGTTTATTACAAGCAACTCTTGGTTAAAAGCATTTTTTAATTGAGAGGGTGTTAACTTCCACATAACATACAGACCGGAAATTTTGTCTGTTAAATACTAAGTCCATTAAATCGAGGGTTTTACTGTACTGTATTTTCCAAAAGCATCCTTTGAGGATTTAGAGCAGGAGTGGAGGGCCTTTTTTCTGCCAAGAGCCATTTGAATATTTATAACATCATTTGCAGGCCACACAAAATTATCAACTTAAAAATTATCCTGCTATATTTAGTCAAACATTTAACTAACTCACCCCTAATGCCTTGGCAGGGCCAGACCAAATGATTTCTCAGACCTTATATGGCCCATAGGCCGGACATTCTCCACCCCTGATTTAGAGATTCAATGAAACTGCAGTGAACTATTTCAGTCCTTAAACCCAGATAAATTATCTGTGGGGCCAGCTGTCCCTACCATGAAGAATCTGTAACATATACCCGGACTATAGGAGAGATTATTAGATCACTATTTTCAGAAGTTCCCTATTCAACTACCAGATACTTATTTGCTAAAGCAACCACTCCCAGCAAGGTAGAACAATTTCCAAGTAGTAAAAGATAAAGTAAAAGCTATACAAAGAATTTTTTAGGACATCAAGGTTACATTCTTTATCTTTCAAAGGGTGTGAGAGTAGTTGGGAAATATATTGATTAAGTGTGGGTAGATGTTATTTTGGAGGAGCAAAGTGGCAGACACGTAACAAAACGAATAGCAGAAGCAGCCATGGAGGCCCAGCCGCTGTATCAGAAGTCCTCCATGATGAAAGGAATGAGGCGGCAAGAGCACTCACATCTACAGCAAGCCCGAGGCCTCCAAGCTTGATTTTGATGGGGTCACTGTGAAGGAGCGCAGGATAATAAAGCTTCCAACCTTTTCCTTTAATAGTTGACTAAAAACTCGTAACTTCAAGTACACTGGTAGTGTCTGATGCCATAGGATAAAAGGAAACGCTTTACCTTGTAGATATTCCCCAACGCCTCCCAGAGAGAAGACAAATCATTTTGTAACACTTATTTCAAAAGCATCTTAAAGCTTCCCAGTGACCCAGAATACTGACAACGGTAACTTTTTTTTTTTTAAACCAGGTAAGTCACAGCCCCATTTAACACCTTTCTGTGCTCTGAATTAACCTCAACTAACAGTTAAAGGGTGTCTTTTTCTGTAACAGTCAGAAATGTTAGTCATTCAGGAGGTTTTCTACTTTGCTTTTCAAATCTTATTTTGAACAACTCCCTCGGGGTAGAGTACACATGAAGTGAGGCAATAAAAACTCAGAGCCTTTGGAGATACTGTACACTAAGGAGATGCTGCCAAACCATAAAAAGAGTAAAGCCCAACAGATGTCCAATTTCCCTCAGGTCAAAGCCAGTGGATTTGCTTTTTTGAAATATCAAATCAAGTTCTAGCCACAAACTGGGTTTATAGTGACCCTGCTTTGCAGGGTAAGGGCTTAGTCTGTCTTGGCAATACAGCACCAATTAGAGACAGCTGATAAAGGTGGCCCTTTAGTATCAAGGGAGCGGCTGGTGGTGTGGCAGAACCTGGCACTTATCTCCGAGGAGGAGGCAGGAGGGGGTAAGGCAGCAGGTCTCTGAGTGTCACCTGGATATCTGAAGACACCGGCTAGATGATGCATGCAACCAGCCACACACAGTCCCAAGAGAAGGGGGAAAACAAGTGGGAGAACGCTTGTCATGCCGCCAGAGAGGAGCTGCCTTCTGCCCATCAAAGCTGCTCACTGACAAGACAAGGGGTGGAGAGACTTAACAGATGAACACCAAATCCGACGTAAGGGCACGCTGCCAAGTCTGGCCCCTTGAAGAGTGGAGCAGGTGCAGAATCTAAAACCAGTGCGGACTCGTGCTCTGGTATGGAGCAGGGTCAGAGGAGGGGGCACAGGGTGACCTGGATCCTGAAACTCAAATGGGTGTTGTGTAGGTGCCAGGGCCTGTTTCACTCCAGCTTTTTGGCTGGCACCCGTGTCCGAGCAATGATGATGGGCACCAGGGCCAGACAGGCGATGAAGAGGGCCCACAGGGGCCGGTAGAAGAGCCAGCCAGCAGCCACGGTCAGCAGGGTCAGTGAGGTGGCCACACAGAAGGCAAAGGCCTTCAGGCCAATGTTGACCAAGTCTCGGAAGACGGGAAACCAGTCCACTGTGGGGAAAAGAAAGGCAGTGAGGCTTCCTGAGGACGCCATGTTCTACGTCTCAAAGTCAGCAGATGGTTCCTGTCTCTAGACAAGGATGAGCCCCTGATGCCAGGTGAGTAAGGGGAGGAGAGGGTCATTGGTGGAAGGCAAATAACCTAGTGAGGGCTGAAAGATCCAAAAGAGGAGCCCTCACTCCTGAGCTGTGTGGGCACACTGACTGACCACCCGCTGCACCCTGCTCCAGGGAGAAGGCAGGTACAAGTGCTTTGTGAACTTTGAAATCATGTTGAAATCAATCTAAAGCCAATATAATGACATTTGGCCATGGGTGGTGTGCTCAGTGGTTAGAGTATCTGCCACCGCCCCCCGCCCGCCCCCCCACACACACACACCAAAGGGTCACAAGTTTGATTCCTGATCAAGGGATGTACCTGGTTGCAGGTTCAATCCCCGGCCCCCATGGACACATGTGGGAGGCAAACAGTCGATGTATCTCTTTCACATCAATGTTTCTCCCTCGTTCTCACCCCCTACCCCCCACTTCCACTCTCTAAAAATCAATGGAAAAAATATCTTTGGGTGAGATTAACAACAACAAAAAGACATTCGACTGTAACAGTGGCAAATACCGTTTGCTGTGCACTCACAAAGGAGACTGGGCAGACTTTTCTGTGGGTGCCTATTTGGGCCCCTCAGCCACTCGTGGAGGTATTTGTTCATTCAGGCAGCAGGTTGTTACCAATTATCTACATGCCCAGGTCTGCATGGACTGAGGGGAACAAATTAGCCTCAGCTGGCCCCTGCCTCAAGGCTCTCACAGGCCCAGTATGAAGTCTAGGATCCGGCTAAATCCATCTGGAACTACCCTGTCCCTGGCCAGTCTAGCATCCCATGGCTGCTATCCACTGGGGGAATCTCCACTCAGTTCCCAGGAGGCCCCAGTGGTCTGGTGCCACTGGGTTTGCAGAGGAAGCCCTGGTGCCCTGCCTTGACTACAGAATCCTGCAGGCCACCCCACGGCTCATCTTTGTCTACTCAGATAGCACCCCTATTTGGTCCTCATAAGAAGCAGAGTTCACGTTTTATACTGTTGACCCTGTGTCAGGCACTACCTGTACCATCTCATCTAACCCACAGGCCTAACCCTTGTAAGGCTGGTATTATTTTTGTGTTGTTTTTTCATCCTCATCCAAGGATATGTTTTTTATTGATTTGAGAGAAACATAAATGTGAGAAACATGGATCAGTTGCCTCCCATACGTGCCCCAACCAGGGATCAAACCCATAACCTAGGTTATATGTCCTGACTTGGAATCAAACCCCCAACCTTTGGGTGTGCGGGGCAATATTCCAACCGAGACACCCAGCCAATGGAAGCCTGGTGCTATTCTTCACCTCATTTTACTCACAAGGTCACGAGGCCCAGGGAGTTTAACTTGCAGCTAGAAAGCTCCAGAGCCAGGACTTAAACTCAAGACTGTCTGAGCCCAGAGCCTTAGCTCTAAGCCATGGCTCTGAGCCTTGAAAGGACAGGGACTTTGTCCTGTTCATTGTGTGGTCTCCTGGGCTCAGAGCAATGTCTTGCACACTCCAGGCGCTCAGTAAATTCTTAATGAATGATTTTGTGTTGCAGGCTCCTGAATCACTCCCCCTGCACTTTGGATCTCTCCATCCTCTGAAGTCTGTTCTGAATCTGGAATGTCAGCATTTCAGATACGGAGAGAATCAGAGGAGCACAGGCAGGCAGAGATTCAAAGAAGGGCCCTCTGAAATAGACTCCAACCTTCTCATCTTGATGATGGGGCAGCAGTCTCTGAGAGGAAAAATGACCTGTCCAGGTCACCCAACCACAATGGGCTTAGTGCAGAGGAAAAAGATGGAGGGTTCTATTCAAATGCAGATCTCTCCTGAATGGAGCTCAGAAGTTGCCCAAGTGACCCAGCCTGGTTCAGGGCTGAGTGCCTTTCTGAGCACAAATCATTATCCAAAGAAAACCCTGGAGAAGTGTCCTTCCCCTCCCTGCACCTCAGTTTTCCCATCTGCAAAATGAGGCAGGTGGCCCTCCCTGCTCTGATAGTCTGGGGTATATGCAGCCAGATCTCTCCCAAACTGGAATGGGTAAGTGGGGGAAAGGTTTCTGTTGGGGCTCAGAGAAGGCTGAATCATCTGACTGGAGAGGGACACACTGGGGTAAAGGCTCATGGAAAGTTCTCTGAAGTCCCATCCTCCCATTCCTCTGATTGCAACAGTCTAGACCTCCCTTACTCAATCAGCTGGGCACTCAGTCCTGAACCAGGCTGCGTCACTTGGGCTACTGGGCTCACAGTGCCAACCTCAGGCTATGGGAGCAGCCCAGCAAACTCTCCCTTGTGCCCCAGAATTGCTGGCTATCCCAAATCTAGCCCAGAAGTATAACAATTTTTAGTGTTTCCTATTTGCCAAATATTTCGTAAAACTACAAATGAGGTGTGAGTCAATTGCAGCTAGCACGGGAAAGAGGATGGCCCCAGGTCCAGAGCTCGGACATTAGATTTCAAGTCCGGCTCACTGCAAAGGCTGGCCCTTCATCCCAAAGCTATGGAGTAGGTACTGAGATGGGCCAATGCCCGCTCCCTGCCCAAGTTGCATACCATCAGGCCAGAAAAGCTGACAGACGGTGTGAGAAGCATGGAGCAAGCACAGGGGGCTACAGGAGGGCGAGCAAGATTCCCACGCCAGTCTCCCCACCTACCCAGGGTATAGAGGATCCGTGTCATGAGGTTAAGGCCCATAAACATGGCCATCCAGCCAGCAGCCCGCAGGCCCCATGTCTTCATGGAGTTGCTCTTTTGTTCTCTAAGAAACACCTCCTGTAGGACAAAGCAGGGCAGGTGGCTGAGGGGGGCATAACAAAGCAGGAGACATTGGCCATTTCTGAACAGATCAGAGGGAGGTAAGGGCGCATCTCCCTCCCAGGTCTAAGTGCCTCCCCAACCTAGCAGTCTGCCGGGCCATTCTTTCCCTTACCATCCTCTAAATGCTGAAATTCTCTGGCTGCTTCAGTCTCACTCTCCCAGGAAGGTGCCTTTCTGGGCCTCACCCCCTGGCTCCCACCGCCTATGTGACATCTCCACTGCATATCTTGGCACATCTGACACTGACTCTGGAGTTTCCACCCCAACCTGTTCTCTGTCATCTCCATCTCAGCAAATGGTACCACCCACCCACCTGCATAAGCCAAAACCTGGGCGTCAAACTTGGCTTGTTCCTCCCCTCACCATCTCTCATCCTGGCCATCAGCAAGTCCTGTCAACACGGGGTCCACATTTCCTCAAATCCTCTCTCACCACCGTCAACCCCTCTCACCAGGGCCCCTTCAGTAGCCTCCTCCCCACGGGCCTCCCTGCTTCTGCCACCACCGCCACCTTCTCCATGCAGCCAGCTGCGCCTCAGCCCCATTGGGGCACAGGTCAGACCTCCCCTGCCTTGGGGCCTTTCACATGCGGTTGCTCTGCTGAGAGCATGTTTGCCCAGTTATGCCTGACCAGCTCCTACACGTTCTTCTAGTCTTGGCTGAAATGCCATGTCTTCAGAGAGCCTACCTAGTCATTATCTATAATAACAATATGATAGCTAACTGATAGCTAACACTTACTGCTTACTATTTATCAGTCACTGTCCTAAGTGCTTTACAAGTATTACTTAATCCTCAAAATAACTTGATGAAGAGGCACATTATCTCCATTTTACAGAAGAGGAAGCTGAGGCTCTGAGAGGGTAAGTGACATGCCCAGGGTCTCACCCCAGCAGGTAACTAAGCTATGAGCTTGAGGGCATGTCTGTTTTATCCCTATGTCCCTGGGGCTCAATAAAATGGATCATCTTCACAACAACCAAGTAAGGTAGGAATAATTGCAATAATCATTTTTTTTTTAATTTCCATTTTACAGAGGGGCCAACAGGCTGAGAGGATAATCAACTGGCTCAAGGTCCCGTAGCCAGCAGAAGGCAGAGCAGGGCTTGAGATGGGGCCATAGCCAGTGCCCAGGACTGACACCTGGACAGCCTGACTCCCAGGGTTTGGTTTCTAAGGGCCCCAGGTTGCCTCCTTGGCTCAGGGCCTTCTCTCCCTGCTTAACAGACCCCAGACCCTGTGCTGGAGGCCCAGGGTGATCAGGAAGCTCCTGCCCATCTCCACTGTCACAGTCTTCCCTCCTGGGGAGTTATCTAAGCCATGAGCCCACCACTCCTCTGGGGGCAGCTCACACCCAGCCTTTGCCTGCAAGAGGATGGAAGCCTGGGGTCAGGGCTGACGCTCTGGGAGAGCGAGAAAGGCCTGGACAGGGCTTCCTAATATTAGAAACTCCCCAGGGGGGCCTGAGAGCTGCTGGAGGAAAGGGTGACTCATGCCATGTCAGGCAGGGAGGTGGCAGCTCCACCCTGAGGTTGGTAACTGGGCTCCTAGGCTGCAGCCCAACCACACCCTAGTCCTGGTTAGAGAAGGCTGGGCCCATGCAGCACCCCGGGGTTGGGTGCTAAAGTGAGAGGGATGACGGCTGAGGGCCTAAGCTGACACCTGCCCACTACCCTTTTCAAGACCTTCTGATGCAAAACCCAGCAATCCTAATCAAAGCTAGCACAGAATACGTACAGTGATACACTGTGTTCAACAATGGAAAAGCTGTATCTTTCTGTTAAAGAGGATTTCCTGCTTAGAGAAGAGTGGCTAACTTTTAAGTCATGCAACTGAACTACTTGGTACATCTTTGTACCCCTTCTCCTTGGGACTTAAGGGGAGGCATAACCTTCCCCCTTCCTCTACAGAGAGTAAGGGGGGTGCCTGCCCTCACCTGGTCATGAGACTCTGCAGCTCAAAGCCCTTCACTGCCACCTAATCCACCCCCTCACAGGGCCCTGCCTGCTCAGGAGTCTTCTTCCCTGACCACTCTCTCTGGGTGCTGGCCACACCGACACTCTTGATGTTCCCAACAAGGTGAACTCTGACCGGCCTGGACTGCTTCCAGCACTGACCCCCTCTCTTCACTTGGCACTCAGCAGAAATGTTACTCAGAGAAGCCTTTCTAGACCACTGTCAAAGCAGATTCCCTATTACGCCCGTTTATCTCCAAGCATCTGCCTCCCCTTCCTGATACTCAGCGCAAGGTGCCCTTACTTGTTTTACTGATGAGTCACTCTCCCCCACAATACTGGACGCCAGTGAAGGAGTCTGTTTTGCCCAGTGTTCTATCCTCCGTGCCCAGCACAGTCTGGCACACGGGAAAATGCTTACTCCTATTTCTTTCTTGCCTCGTTGCACTGGCTATGACCTCTAGTAGTAGGTGCTTATTTAATAACCTTATTAAAAGTGGCAGGGAGGGGTACACCAGTCCCTCCATCACAGAGGTAGACAGCAGCAACTCACCTCGGCTGAGAAGTCCCCATGGTGCAGGAGAAGCAAGGTGTCCCCAGACTTGGTGGAATATGAGACTAGCTGGTCACCTCGCTGCCGGGCAATCACAGTGACCTGGTCAGAGAATGTAGTGTTGGAGCTGAGACAGTGACCAGCCCACCCGGCTCCAGCACCCCTCTACACTGTGTGCCTCCTAGGGAAGTGAGTGAGGAGACCGATGCCATCCCAGTTCTTAACCTGGGGTCTACGGATATCCATGGATGGCTTCAGGGGACACAGACCTCTGAAACTGCTCAAAGGCATGCCTCACTGTGAATATGAGCACATGAACACAGTTCCTGGAGGGAGGGTCCAAAGCCACATTCCCAACGCTGTCCACTGTGTCCATGCCCAGGGAGATCGGAAAGCCCTGCCTGAGTCTGCCCTGGAGAAGTTACATTACCACATGAGCTGGACCCAGGTCAGGGTCGTCGCTGCTCAGCCCGGCATAGGAGAAGGAAACTCGCATGTCTCCGACCTGGGGGGGTGGAAGAAAGTGGGGTGAGTGAGGCCAGGAGCAGTCAGCCTGGGCCTGGGTCCATGGCACTGTTGAGCCCCTACACTCACTCTCTTTTCCCACCCCTATAGCTTTTCCCACGTGGCTCCATCACCTAGAACTTCCTCCCCTCCCATTTCATTTGACCAAGTGCAGCTGTGGATGCCACCAAACTGAATCAGTCTTAAGCGAGAACGTGACAGCTGTGTATTCCTGGGAGATGGTACTTCAGGGGCCCTGATCTGTACTATCTGAACTGCCCGAGTCCCTCTGTGCACCTCTGGGTACTTGGGGTTTTCACTGTGGTAGAAATAGTCTCCCCGGCGAATAATGTCCACGTGTGGGTCCTCCAGCTTGGACAGGCTCAGTGGCTTGAAGTTGTCGACTTTGTCAATGAGGCCTGAGAGAAACCAGGTGGTTAGAGACGATGGTGTGCAATTTGAAACCCCCTGATCTTAAACCCCTCAGCCTGACATCCTTCCCACCGCACCCTCACACAGCCCTGCCAGCTGCCCCTTCCTGGCTCATTCTCCTCCGGGCCTTCAGCGCACGACCCGCACGCACAGTGCCCTGCTCCAGCCCCCGCTCTTCCACTGCTGCCCCTTGCCAGCCCCACTGCAGTCTCCCTCTCCTCCAGGAAGCCTTTCCTGTCCCCTCTCCGTACAGTCAGAGTGACCACAGCTCTGGGAATGGTCTTAGCTCTGCACCCATTCCACCTTGGGTCTGGTTATCCATGTCCAAGCCTGGCTCCCATGCTGCACGGAGACCCCTGGAGGCCAGGCTGGTGGGCACTAGCTAAGCAACAGAGCAGATGGCAGAAGGCCAAGCCCTCAATCCCAGCCTCTCCTCCCTCACCTTGGTTATTTGGGTCCTTGGTGTCTTCTCTCCCACCTTCCTGGGTCAAGCTCAGGGACAGAGCCCTAGGAGTTCCTGTGGCCCGTGATACTGCCTTGTCCCTTGAAACCCACTCTTTGGAATAACTTGGTGGGGAGGGGGATGAGCCAGCCACTCCTTGGCACAGGGCTAGGTGCCATGTGGGGCTCAGCGGTGGAGCCCTCAGGGAAAGCCTTGGCTCGACCACTGGCTCAGGGCCCCTTGAGGAAGGGCTCTCAGCTTTGTCTGGTCAGAACAGGCAGCGGCACCACAGCAGCGCCTGGCAGTCCTTCTCTGGAATAATCCAGGGGTCCGAGGAACCTGCCCATGGTGGGGGTGTTCTACACGAGTCCCCGCCTCCTAGAGATTTGCCTTCTCTCTGACCTCAGCCCAAAACATGATCCTTGGAAAGGTTCTGGTTGATCCCATGTCCAGGGCAGCAGAGCCACCTTCACCACCGAAGGGCTGAGTGCTGGAGGCACCAGTGGCTGAATGGAAGCACAGAACCTCTGGGCTGGCGATGGCTCACCCGAAGAGGCCAGAGACTTACCTGCCGAGAGGAAAAACCTGCCAATCTGGACGAAGGGGGCTGTTGCTGTGAACGACTCCACGGCCATCGCACTGTGGGAAAGAGGGAGCTATCAGGGAAGCAGGACACCAGGTGGGAGTATCTGAGTTCCTTTGGGTTGTGCTGGGGAGGGTCCCTACCCAGATGGCTCCTGCAAGTCCAGACCAGCCAGGCACTGCAGACATCTTGTCTTTACCAACAACTCCACCCCCTGGGTGACCTCAAGTCCCCCTTCCCTGGATGGAACATCCTCATTCTGTCTCCTGTTCCCAGAGCTCATACCCTCTTGCCTAGACCCCAACCAGCCTGTCCCACCCCCAGCCATTAGATGGACCTTCCATGGACTTCACAGCCTCACTGACCCCAGCCCCAGGTAGTGTCTAAGCCCACTGTGCACATTCACATCAGGCCTGCTCCACCCCACGTCCCTGAGCTAACCTCCCCCTGCCAAAATCCTACAAGGGCCCAGATCACATGCCACTGCTCCTGTAAGCCCTTCCTGACTGTCCTCCTTCCCTATGGCTAATGGTTAACAAGGGCTTCCCTGGTACTACAAATGCAAATCCCTTTGGGCACTAGTCCAGGCCTTAAATTCATGACTTGTTTGAGGGCAGCTTGTTTGGGGTCAGGGAAGTTGGGTCTCGCCTCTGTTCCTGGTGCCCAGGAGCTGTCCCATCTAGCACCCAGACTTGTGCCAGGGAGTGGGTGGTCATCCCAGACCACAGTGTGGCCCACGTGTCCAACACTTCAATCAACTCATGAGGCAGAAGTAAGTCAGTCCCATTACTCAGATGAGGAAGCTGAGGCTGGAGACATGCCAGTGACAGCTAAGGCTGCACTCAGGCCTGGGGGCCCAGACCTCACCTAGGGTTTTTGTGGCCAATCTCTCGGTCGAAGTTTCTGCTGTTGACGATTTCCGACCGCCATTCAGGGTCTGTTGTGGGAAGAGGGAACAACTCAGCAACCATGGCAGTAGTGGTCACATGTCCAAGGTCCACTTATCCAAGCCGGTGACCATTCTAGAGCTGAAGGGGCAACTCCTAGAGCCTCGCTGGATGATGGGAGAGCAGGGCTTTGAGCACCAGCACCCAGGGACCCCGACACCTGGTTCCATGGCCTTCCCCACTGCAGGGATGTGCCCAGCATCTGCCCACAGGCCTGGGATGTAGCCCTGGAGAACAGGGGCCTATACTCACTGTAGGAGTACTTCCTCTCTGTTTTCACCTGCCCGTCCTCAGTATAATCTCTGTGGGGAAAGCACAGCAGTTCCAGAGTCAGTCCGTCACCCTGAGACATTCCCATCTCTAAGCATCTCCAGCTGAAGCAACTAGGGACTACCCAGTCAAACTGCCCAAATGGAGCAGGCCTTGTCTGCACCAGCCCAGACAGGCTGCTCACTCCCTGGCAGACAGCCAGCTCCAGCCATTGAAGGCCCTGACCCGAGAAAAACTGCTTTCTCATCTGGAGCTGAAATTTGCCTCTGCCTGGCTCACACCAAGGGTCACAGTTCCTCTCTCTGGACTCAGATCTGGCTGTACCCTCTGCTCCAGGACAGCCCCATGGAGACCCTCTACAGGTGCCCTGCGCCAGGCTGAGCTTGAGCTGCTCTGGCTCACCCAGCCACCTCTCCACCCCTCAACTCATGGTCCATTGGGCTCAGGTGGGGGTGGCCCACCATAGTTCCAGGTGACCCCCACCATGGCCAATGAGAGTCTCCCCTAAGACGTCCGTTAAAACTGATAGGATGTTGCCCTAGACAGTTTGGCTCAGTGAATAAGAGTATCGGCCTGTGGACTGAAGGGTCCCGGGTTTGATTCTGGCCAAGGGCACATGCCCAGGTTGTGGGCTCGATCCCCAGAGGGGTACATGCAGGAGACAGCCAACCAATGATTCTCTCTCATCATTGATGTTTCTATCTCTTTCTCTGCCTCTCCCTTCCTATCTTAAATCAACAAAAATATATATATATTTTTAAAAGAAACCTGATAGAATGTTGCCAGCTGGGTGGTTCAGTTGGTTGGAGTGGTGTCCTGTGCGCTAAAAAAGTTATGGGTTCGATTCCCGGTCAGGAAACACATACTTAGGTTGCAGGTTCAATCTCTGGTCAGGGTGCGTATAGGAGGCAACCAAGTGATGTATGTTTTTCTCTCTCTCTCTCTCCCCCCCCCACTTCCTCTCTCTAAAAATCAATAAAAACATATCCTCAGGTGAGGATTAAAAATAGTATTTTTTAAAAACTCATAGGATGTAAGCCAGGAGGCCATTTCTGTCCCCTCATGGGAGAGAAGATGGAATTAACACATGGGGAAAAAAATTGTTTGTGGCCTGAAACCAGTAATGTCTTAAGCTCAGGCCACTCTGCATTGGATTTCTGCCATCTCCAAACAAAAGATCATTCACTAATAACTTTGGGATAATTTGACATTTCTCTGATAGACGATTTCATACTTTAGATTTCAGAAGTGTCAAAACGAAAGTCCCCTGCATGTTATCCTCACATCTGCACTTTCTTTACCCCCAGCTGATTTTCACTCACTGGTACCTCACCTGGACTCCTCGGTTTCTACCCACTGGTACATCTCCACGTGCCGCCGCAGCTTCACAGCCGGAATGTGGACCCCATAGTTTGGATCAGACAAGAGCTTCAAAAAGAATCAAACAAATCAAAAGTGAATACATAAAAAACAAAACCATACCGGCCCAGACTGCCTGGCTCAGGGGAAGCTGGACTAGAAAAGAAACAGACAGAGGACCAGGATGGGACGGGACAGAGAACTCTACGTTGCTTCACGTAGGAGAATGGAGTGAAGCTGCCTTTCCCAAGTTCTGAACCAATGCCTGTGACATGTGCCTCACAGCACGGGCTCAGGCTACATGGCCCAATGGCCCTGGAAAGGTCCAATAACCAGAGCACCTTCGTAGCCTTGCACTAGACACACATGCTAATCATAACCATTAAAGCACCTATTTGTAAAGCTTATGCCACATGCCAGGCACTGTGCCAGGACGTTAGCTACTTATTCCCACCCAATCCTCAAAACTGGCCCCCCAATTTGTTACAATTCTTCTCCCCAATTTACAGATGAAAATGTTGAGACTCAGAAGTGATGGGTCCACACAGCTGCTGAGTGTGGGGTCAATAATCACACCCATGTGTGTCCATGCTTTCAAAATCCTCAATCGAACAATGTCTAGTGATGTGCCGCACGCCTCCGGGGGGTCAGCAACCATGGTGAAACGCACCTTGGATGTCCGCAGGGCCCCAATGATGTGCACCAGCCTCCCCTCGTTCTCCGGAGCCACACTGTGGATGCTGTCAGGGGACACCACAAGTGAGAGCCCCTCAGCCAGGGCGGTTGCTGTCTTCAACGCGCGACCCTGTGAGCAAAGGGGAGTGAGCATTTCAACAGCTCAGGCGTAGCCTGACACAGCATCTCAGGGCAGCATGGGCCTCAGAGAGCATTGAGACTGACCTTCCCATGTTGCAGTTGGAAAACTGAGGTCTACCAAGTGGTGGTGTGGGGACTGAAACCCAGGGTTCCTGCTTTCCCAGGCAGACCTCTTCCCACCACCCCACTGCCTCCATACTAGAGCTAGCTGCCGTTTTGTCTGCCTTGTACCCCTTTCCCTATTTTCCTCTGCTTTCTCCTCCCCTTCCCTACTCAGTCCATGTGATTTACTTGGGTGTCAGTCCAAATCATGTGACCCAGGCCTAGCCAATCAGAACATTTGTTCATTGGCTATAGGGACTGGTTCAGAGTGAACATTGAGACCCAAGCCAGGACTCAGAGATCTCCCTGCAACTGTTGCTAAAATCATTTAGAAGGAGATGGTTCCTTTGTTCTCTGGGGCTGCTAAGCTGATTGGATATAACCTGGAATTCCTTTGCCACCACAAAGGAAGAGTCTGCCAAAAAAAATCCACAACAAACACAGACAGCAGATAAAGAAATGGAGATTCCTAGTGACCCAGCATAAATGCCTGGATGCCATGCCTAAAGCTGGTGCTACCCCCAGGATTTCAGGTGTGTTAACCTATCCACTCTCTTCTCACGTATTTTGGTTGGGGTGGGATGTGTGTGTCAAATCACAAAGAATTCTGGTGAATTCAACATCCCCCTCTCTCTATTGTAAAATCTAAGTCCTTATTACTAAATCCAGCCTCTGGATTCACAGCCTTTGGCCCCTGACGCTATGGGGAACCTCACTCTGCACAGACCCTGAACAATTTACCTCATTGGTAAAAATTAAGTAGAAGGAGAGTAGGAAGGTCACGAGCCCCACAAACATCCCACCCGACGTCTCGCTCAGCCGCTCCAGGAAGCCTGGCTGGGGGTCAGTCGTAATTTTGACATGTTCTCTTCTATTACTCATATTAGAATACTGAAAAAAAAAGGAATAAAATTTAGTTTTTAAAATAAATCAAATTTCATTATTTATACTCAGTTTTCATCCTAATTATATATGGTAAAAATGCACAGATATTAAGTGTACAGTTTGATGGGTTTTGACAAATACATACCCCATTTGACCAACATCCTGGACAAGATACAGAACATGTCTATCACCCTAGAAAGTTTCCTTGTGCCCCTTTCCGGCCAATACTCCCCTCTCCCCACCTCTCAGAGTTAACTACTATTAGTTGGTAAGGCGGGTAGAGATATGACACCCCCAGTCCACATTCTGAATCAAATTCCCTATGAGGGCATACCCGTAGACCTTGCTTGACTGTGCTCATGGCCAGGCAGGGGGGACAGTGTATGCAAGAGTAATTTAGAGTTTGTGCTAGTTCTAGCCAGCCTATTCGGTGGCTGGATAAGTTGCATTACTTCAACATTTTCCTGCCTCTCAGCAGAGAGGAGAATAGTGGCTCTTTTAATTCTCTCTTCTAGGATTACTACAGCATCCCATTTCCTGCACCCACCACGCCGCTGACTGGGAGGGATGGTAGCCTGTCCAGCAACCCTTATTCTGGTAGGACTGGGATAGGGCTAAATAAAAGGAGACTGTGTTGAGATTGGTGGAAGAAAAAATTTTAAAAAAAAATTCCCTATGAACAGGATGATGGAGACTTCCTCTGCTCATCCTCACTACCCACCCCTACCCCTATCCTAACCTGAAGGGCACCCTCCCGAGCCTTCTGCCTTCCCTTCCAAGTCATCTTGATGTTGGCTGCATAATGAGTGTTGAATACCTCTATGTATCCTCAGTGACACATACCCTTCCAGTCCCAGCACGCTGGGCTCAAAAGTAATGAGCGGTGGGAACAGAAGTCAACACACAGGCCCTGAAAATCACTTGCTGTGAAACCCTGGGTAAGTTGCTCTACCTCTCTGATCCTGTGTACTCGTTTATAAAATGGAGGTGGTAAACAGAACCTGTGACAGGACAGTGGTTACACTGCTTAAAAAATCTTGTCACCTGCCTGCTTCACCCCACCAGGGCTTGGTGGCTCCTCCCCTAAATACACACACCGGGACCCTAGAAGCAACAAAGACTTGGCAATAGAGGATACCCAAATTCATCGACATTCCTTGGCAAGGGTCAGGTCCCAACATACCCCAGATGGTCTCTGCCCACCAGGATGGACACTGTGAAGAATTTTTTTCATATATTAAGTTCCTACTTAACACCAGGCACTGTTGAAAGCATAGCCTCCCTTAAACTTCCCAGTAACCCATCCCACTAGAGATGAGGGCCACACAACTACAGAGAGGAGGAAAGTGGACTTGCCCCCAGGTCTGCCTGACTCCAAAGCCTGCCATTTTCAGCACCTTCCCCTGACGTCACCTGCCAAGCTGGCTGTGAGACCTGGGCAAGTGCCTTTCCCCGCTGGGGAGTCTCCGTCTGTAAAGTACGGTGGTGAGGGTATAGGGGCAGATAGGAGTCCACCTTTAGGGGTAAGTGAGTCTCCTGACTGCGCTCTCTCCTGGCAGACCCTGGGCCTCATGGACCACCTCTGAGGCCTTTCTAGGTGCAGCATTCAAGGCCTCTAGGCCTCGAAGACAACTCTAATCTGGGGCAGAGTGGCTAGGGCTGTCAGCCACACAAACTCTGCCTCTCAGAGGGTGTGGGAGGTAGAGAGGATCCTTGGAGACAGAGAAGGGGCGTGGAAGGAGGGTGTGACCGGCCAGGAGAGAGTGGGTAGGACACCACCACAGCGGGAGGGAGTGTCTGGGGCTGGCCGGGTTCCCCAGCTGGCTCCAGAAGCACTTTCACAGGGGAAGGGAGTGGTGAGTCACCAGCTTCTCCCCTAGGCAGCACCCTGGTGGAAAGGGCCGCTCGATTTGTTGAATGAATGTTGCACTTAAGTAGAATGGTTCTTGAGAAACGCTGGCTGCGGGGAGAAGAGGCCAGCGGCCTTTGGAAAGGAATCACCTCCAATCGGGACCTTTCTAGCCAAACCCACGTTAGGAGGATGGGGGGCCAGGCAGCAGGGAAATGCGCCCTCCTACGGTCACCTCCTCCGCTCCCACCAGGACCTGGGCCCGTCCGCAGCATCACAGCCTCGGTTCACCTACCCGCCCAGGCGGGAGCTCACTGCCTGCGCAGAAAGCCCTGTCGGTCCCTGCTGGACAGCTCCGCCCGGGCGGCCTCGGCCTCCCCACCCTTCCCGCGGACTCGCCCCCTCTCTGAGGTCACGTCCAGCTCCGCAAATCTGGGAACAAGGGCCCCGGCGGTAACTGGGGATGAAGGTGAGGCTGCTGGGAGGTGCCGCGCGCAAGTAGATCCCAAATGTCCGGGGCAACACCTCCTGAGTCTCCCTCCCCACAAAAGCGCGCCCAAAGAATACGGACAAAAGGAGTCTGGAGTCTGGACAGGCTAAGAGAAATGAATACACGGATTAGCTGCCGGGAGGCATACAAACAGCATGCAAAGGGAGCCAGCGGGGCGCACAGACGAGGGTCAGTCGGACAAGCAAAATGGATCCACGGGAGGAAAGAGGCCCCGTGACGGGGAGCTTGGGTGTGGCCCGACAGACCAGGGGACACTCACATTCGCGGCCATGGTGAGGCCCGGCTCGCCGCCCCGGCTCGCTCTGCTCAGGTAGGAAAGGGGTTTACGGCCAGAGTGCGGACGACCTCTTGTCTGCCTGAGTTGCGAAAACGCGCGTGAAGCCCAGAACCAGAGGGGATGTACTACAATGTTGCCGCCCCTCGATCTCCAGCCTCTCTGCTCATGCGCGCCGCAAGGTCTTTTGGAAAACGTAGTCCGGGGTCAGGTACTTTTGCCACAAAGTTGCAAAAGGCCTTGTATGTCACTGATACGCCTGCGCATCGCAAGGCTTTCTGGGAAGTGTAGTTCCTGCTGCCCGGCGGCGCGCGGCCTGCTGGGTATTGTAGTTCCCTGCTGAGGAGTCCCCAGGCTGGGGCTGGAAAGGCGCGGAGGCAGGCGCGCGGCGGGCAGGCCTGGAGGGGGCGGGTTCACCTGGGCCTCGGGGCCTCCCGCCCTACCAGAGAAGAGGTCACGGCGTGAAGCCGCCGCTCCCGCTACCGCTGCTACCGCCGCGAGGTCTGAGCGCTGGGCTGCAGCCATGGCCTACTGCCGGCAGGAAGGTAGGGAGGGTGAACTGCCGAGGAGACCGGCCTACGAGGCCCTGCCGGGGTCTGCTGTCTCCGCACGCTTGGGCACCCGGCGACCTCATTGCCGGTGCGGGCAACCCCAGGCTGTCCGGGGTACCCTCCTCGGGACCTTTGGAGCTGGCTGGGCGGCGGGGTTGCCACCCCCGTTTTGCAGATGAGAAAACCGAGACTGGGAGGAACGAGGCTGTTCCAAGGTCACCCAGAGGCTCGAACCCGGACCTCAGAGGTGCCGGCTCGTGGGGGAGTTTATAAACTAGACCCGAGCGGGTAAGGGGAGTGCTGGGCACGTTTCCTCCGGCTCGCGATTGGGAATTCATTGTCACTCTTACTGTCGCTCTTACCACACACCACGTGTTACCATTTGCACGTGCCTTGTAACTGTCCTGAAAAGTCATGCGGGTTAGGTGTGATAGAGTGGTAGAAGTAGCGGCAACAAGAACATTTTTTAAATATACTTTTATTGATTTCAGAGAGGAAGGGAGAGGGAGAGAAAGAGAAAGAAACATCAATGATGAGAGAGAATCATTCATTGATCCTCTGCCTCCTGCACGCCCCTACCAGGGACCGAGCCCGCAACCCAGGCATGTGCCCTTGACCGAATCAAACCCGGGACCCTTCAGTTCACAGGCCGACACTCTATCCACTGAACCATAGGGCTAGGACAAGAACATTTTTTTTTTTTTGAGTCCCAACTATATATCAGGCACTCTTCAAGGAGCTTTATAGGGTTTATCATTGATCTCGCAGCAACCTTTGTAAGTCAGGCTCAGTTAAGACCCAGAGAGACTTGGCTAAAGCCACGTGATGGTGCCCAGTGGATTCCAGGGAGCCCTCTTCTGGGAGGATGCCCCCCACGCCCCATACACACACACACACACACACACACACACACACACACACACACACACAGAGTTCAGAAGCCTCCAAGCTTGTTTCCAAACTTGTGAAATGAGAGGTTAAAAGAAGTTGGCCTTCATTCATTCAGCAGATATTCATGAAGAACCTTCTCGATCCCAAGTGATGGGGATGGTGGAGAAGCTACAGAAAGAGTTGGAACTCACCCAGAAATTCTTTGGTGAATAAATAATCCGGCTCCCTCAGTTTAATTCGGGGAATCTGGAGCCCAGAGAAGATGACCTACCCAAGGTCATAAATCAAGTTAGGGCAACAGTTAGTCTAAAATGTTAAGCCTTTTCCCTCACCCCACCTTGCTTCTAGATTCCTCCTTTCTTGGGTCGTAAAGCCGTGATAATCATTGATATTGCTAATGAGTACGATTTATGTTGACTAATGCTTAATTGTGCCATGGATAAAAGTCCTCTGCCCTTGCCACTCGGTTAAACAGTGGGTCTCTTGTTCTTACTTTTCTTTCTCTGAATCTCTCATTTCATCATTTAACAAGTAATTTTGAGCCTTTGGGGTATGATGAAGCTGTGCAGATTAATACCCCTCCTCGCCCTTGAATATTTCTACGAATCACAGGTTATCTGGGAATGAGAGGTAGGTTCCTTCTTCCACCAAAGCATTGATCCTTATTTTTCTGAGTTGAAAGATCTCTCTTAGTTTAGGGATGAGAATTGAAAGCACTCTTATCTAGTTTTTAATCTTATCCATACCCACTGTCCCTAAATCCCCAACTTTTTGGTTTTTTTCTACCCACCAATTTTTTTATGCTTCTCCTGGGACTTAGAAAAATGATCACAAACTCCTTGCCCTGTAAGGGCTTAAAAGCTAAGAGAATTAGATGGGCTATATTCGCCATATTCCCAAGATCTAGCACATGGCCTGGTCTATAAATGGGTGCTCAAGTGTTAATCGAATAAACTCATACACATACCTGCACTCTGTTCTCATTGAATCGCTTGCCTGTGCAAATGTACTTCACCTCCCAGCCTCAGGTTAAAGGCCTTAGCTTGCATTCAAGGCATCCCACAGCATGGCTCAGCCTTGCTCCCTGGCCTTGGGCTGCCCACACTTGCCTGTTCCTTTCTTTAGTTTCCCCCTTTTCTAACACTGAGCCTGCCCTCTCCTGTTCAGTCAACATTTACTGAACCCCTGTGACATGCCATCTACTTCACATTAGTAATGAGCACAGGTGACAAAATCTGCCTCCATGGCCTGGTGGACACTCCTGGGTTGCATATGCTCAGAGACTCTGATGTAATGATCCAATGCATATCCATGCTCCCCTCCCGGGGAAAGGTGAGACCACCCACCCAATAGTGTTGTCTGAGTGCTTAACAGTGATAATCATTCTGTCTTCCTGCCCCTCTGCTGCATGTCCTAATCCAGAGTTCCGTTTCTCCACTTAACTCTTTCAACAAATATTGATTACCCACTATGTTCTGGGCACTGTTCCAGGCTTTGGGGGCACTACAATGAATGGAAAAGACAAACCCTTGTGCCTAAGGAGCTGACATTTCACTGAGGGAGATGGGTGGTAAATAAATATATAACACGGTAGGTGAGGAAAAGTGCTGTGGAGAAAAGGAAAGCAGGATGACGGAGATGCAGAATGGTCAGGGAAGGTGGCATCCTAGCAGGTGGTATGAAGACATGCGAGGGAGGTGCTACTGGAGGAGAGAACAGCCTGTGCAAAGGCCCCGAGGGATGTGTGTGCTCAGCATATTCAAGTGAATGCAAGAAGGTGCTGGAACGTGGGAGCAAGTAGTGGAAGATGAGGTCATGTGAGGGATGCAGATCTTTCTAGACATACTGATACTTAAAGCTAGAACCAACCTCATTTAATGATGGAAGTGTGAGAGAAGACAGGCATCGAGGGCGGCTGTACAGAGTAAAACTCCAGAGTTAGGGTGTCTTGGTTTCCAACTGCTCGACCAGTCCTGTTCTCGGCCCCACTCTGAAGTCCTGCTTTCAGAGAGACCCCTTGGGCCTTGGGTTCCCTCCCTTCCCAGGGTCCTCGAGTGGGGGTTGGTTTTCTCTAGTTGACTGCCTCCCTTGTGAGCCTTGGGTCTAGCGTCTCCATTCATTGCACCAGAGAGCACTCTCTGTCAGCTTGTCCACGTCTAAAACTATTGACATCTCTCGCCTCTGGTGGCCTCTTCCTGGCCATTTTATCCTTGTCATTTGAGCGGGACTTCAGTTGAGAGCAGAAACTTGTTTCACTTTCTTTGTTTACCATGGTAGGTAGGCTGAGCTGGTGAGGGGCCTGTTTTTCTGAGTCCCCCAAGGTCAGGAGGTGCCTGACTACCCCACTAGTTGGCATTCTTAGGACTGGTTCTAAGTTGGCATGCTTAGGATTGGCTTTCTTTCACAGTTAGGACTGTCAGGAGTAAGTAAGCATTGTCCTTGCATTCACTTTTAAACATTCCAGGAAGCGAAGGCCTGGGAATATGTATATTTCTTATTATAAATCACAGTACCACATCCGTCCATCCAGTATAACCTCTCTAAGAGGGATGTCCAAGAAGATGCTTGCAAGGACGCAGCCTGTGAGAAGGACCTGAACATTCTCAGTGGGACTGTGCTAGGCCTGGGACTCCCACGCTGGCTGTGTATCACAGCTACCTGTGAAGCTAGGGAGCAATGTGAACATGCCAGAGTTTGATTTAATTTCCGTTGGGTGCGGCCTGGCCTCTGGACCTCCTTATTGGTCTGGGTCTAGCTGAGGTCTTGGTAAACAAAACTGTCAGAGCTGAGCTGAGAAATTTGCTGTCAGCTTATTCTGCTTAGCATTCAGCATTTTTTGCAGGTTGCTTTCCAGTGTTTTGAAAACGACAGGACCACCAGGGTCGTTAGTTACTTGAATGTGCCCTGGCTGCTTGGCCCAAATCCTTTCCCAGGCCACATGGGAAAGCGGTCTTCCCTGGGATAAAATGTGAGGTGTGGAGGCAGAGACCAGCTCTGGGCATGGAAACTTCGGGTCAGCTGAGGTCAGTCCCTGTGCAGGCTGAGGGTCACCTGTTGGTACTGTTACCCCGTGCGGAAAGGATGTGAAGCACCCAGGCGCCTTCCCTCTGTCCCCTCACCTGTCCTTTTCACTGGAAGTGTCGCTCTGCTTCTTGCTGTCACCCCAAGCCTCTTTCTTAAATGTGGCAGCCCAAGCATGCCCCCACCCCCAAATAAAAGTATGAAATAGTAAGAGAAAATGCCAGCAGCTCTGAGAGCCACATTTCTGCAGGCCTGGCCTCTGCTCCCACAGTAACTAATTCAGTCCAGGCCACTGACTAAGGCCTGTCCAAGGGCACATTTGGATGGTGCCTGGAGAAGTCTTAAATGCCAGGCACCTCCCATCCCCGTCGATGAGGGTCCCATTACCCCAGATCTCCTGGGTCACAGGGGGTAGTTAGGGCTATGGAATTTGTCTTTCCCTTCAGCAGCTGGGTACCAGTAGCTTAGAAAAAAACTTATTTATGCACTCAGCAAACATTCATTGACTTAATTCTAAGCTTCTTGATCAGGAATTGGGTCAGTATTTATTGTACAGAACATTTATTCCTGCCCAAAGCGCACACAGCTCTCAGGATAGAGTCCAAGTGATGCTGAGTACTCAGTGTCAAGCTGTCTTTATTATTCTTATGTTTGTGTGTTTGGGGGGGAGTGTAGGTGTGTGGAAAGGATCTCCAT